AAGTGAGCGACATATGAAAGCCGCTGATTATTACATGCGAATTTTCAACGAAAAATGACGATCGCATCAATGTTAGGAAAGAATTTTAAATTTCCCCAATGAAATTTCTTCCTTGAATTCCTCCCTTGCTAGTGCTGTTCATACGTAACTCTTTTTAAAGACTATATTTGAACATTTCTTAGACGCGCAGTACGGGTTGCTTATTGCCAAGACAGACTGAAGGAGTTGAACGTCTCCAACCTTTTCTTTTAGAAATTTGTGAGGACCAGAATCAGTTCATGTTTTGACCCCCATTTATTTATTTCCATACCGCTGTGGAGCAAGCGTAAGTATGGTATAATTACCTTCCCACACTCTTACTGTGCTAATTAAAGGTGGACAGATTTTTTTTTTTAAGTTTTTGCGAAAGCAAATGAGATATGAAATCGTTTGGTCATGCCAGCCGATATGCAGACAGATGTCAACTCGCTTTGTTAAGTTAATTTCTATCTGAACATACTTCTTACTGTGATCGTTGTGTTAGCAGGTGTGTTCGTTCGTGAGACAACAACTAAGAACAGCTACCGAAGGTAATTATTTTGAGAACGACTCAGGCAACAAGTTTCACCGAAAGAGATTCACAGAAAGATTGGACTAAGGGTGCACTTGCAAATTGGATCAGTTGGACAGGAAGATAGTGTAACAGGACAGTTATATTACAACCGTATAGGCCTCCACTGTAGTGCCCACCAAGTACCGAAAAATTCTTCTTGTATGAACTGTGAATCGCAATTTGTCGCAGTAAATATCTCAGAATAATTGACTTAATGAAAGGTAAATTGCGATTAATCCGATTACTCCGCGTAGAGATGAGTTTCAAGCTCTCTCTCTTTTTTTCCCCATCTTATGAAGGATACTAGGACATGATGTCATAATTCCATATTGGTTTCACACTTTTAATGCCATTAAAACATGTAGCAAAAGGAATGATAAAATTAATACGAGTTACTTGGTTGGAGTAAACTCATAAGAGAAAAATTTCCATATTAAATTATTACTCTTTCCCTCTTTATAGTAATTAACAAACATTCTGACTATTGCCCACAAAGAATTAAAAAAACATTTTCACCGGCAAGGTGTCAGGCAAATATATGCGAACGTACTCTTGCTGATGTAAATTAAGTTCTTAGTAGTTCATGAACTTATTAGCAGCTTCCTGTTAATATTGCCACCGAAGTACACCAAACACAGGATAAAACAGCATTCAATGCTGCAGCGATGAAAAGCACATATGTGAATAAAAACATTGATTTCCTCTTAAGGAGGCCATCTCACATCTCGTTGCTTTAGATTATTCCTGATATAGTTGCTACCAGAATACATATGTATATATTCGCATGAAATATGTATGCAGTATCACCCTGGACCCCCTCAAAATGTTTTCTTATTAAGCTTGTGATAAAGTGCAAAGAATATTTAAAACCTAAACTTTATTAAATTGCAAAGATAAAGAAGCATACAATGAGAAGATACATGCGACTTTTTATCACAATTCAATTTATAGTAGAGTTTTTAATTAGTAGAAACAACAGCTTGTTCAATCGCTCCAATAGGATAGGCGTTTAGTTGTCCTTTACAAAGCACAATTTTTCAAACGCTACCTTCTAAAGGTGAAAGCAAATATATCAGTATTCGATTTCTTTGCGGATGAGTGTAACACTGAGCGTTGATCCAGTAAAGGATTGCAATATGCCAAAAAATTAGTGGATCTTCTACAACAATTCATAGATACTTTCTCCATATATTAGTAATTAATATGCAATCACTTATCAAGTCCATGTCAACTTCTTCAACCCTATCTTTGCTATCTATCCCGGTCTTTAGGTGCAATGATCACTTTTATTGCGAATCAGAACTAAAACGAGAAGCTTAACAGAATGCTTTTCGACATATTACTTAGCCGTCTCGTTTACATCACCCTAAAAAATCTGTTATTCCATTAATTATCTCTTAGTTGCTACCCTCTAAGGGGGAAAAAAAAAGTCGAATTTTTGTTTGCTACGGGCGGAAAATGGAAAAATTCATTTCAAATACTTTTTGTTCTAAGTGAAATAAATCGATCGAATCACTGATTACCTTTCGATTCGCGGACATTCGATCCAAATATATGTATTATTCGATCAGCTACTTAGAATCTCAAAGCGAAATTTATCGAGCGGGCGGAATACATTGAAACACATGCCATTACTTGTTTCTTTCAACTTTGCAGAAAGCAAATAAAATATCGGGTGCTTGGAGCTTTAGTCCGGTTTATTATTATTATTATTATTATTATTAATTTCGCCAGAGAAATAAATTCTAAGACTAAACTCTTAAAAGCACTAGCATCTAAGGCTATCGGTTTTTATTAAAAACTCTACCGCACTTGAGATTCGAACCCACGACCATTGACTTGCTAGTCGAGACTCTTGCCTACTCGGCCACTCAGGCGGATAGTCCGGTTTAAAATTAGCACTGGTTCTGTTCCTGTAGATTATTATTTTTCGGATATTTTTTCTATATAAATAAATCACATTTGATATGAAAATTTATAAAAACACGCTTTGTTTTAAAAATGCATTCAAATTCAAGCAAAGTTTCCGAGTCTTAAAAAAGGAGGAGTGTTTTTCTAACGTGTATCCCTACATCGCAAAGCTATTGTTGACCCGGAAGCGGTCATTCACAAGCTGAGTTTGGGCCTTTGACGCACTTACCCTCTTTCACCAGCAGACTGGCTTATAAACCATCGCATTCAGTGTCGGGCTCGTTCCATCGACTACGTGTATGAACTCTTTTTCTTTGAGCATTAGAGAGGAACAAGCGCATTCGTTTCACATATTTTTGGCTCCTACTTGGCAGTTTCTCCACAAATTCGCGCATTCAACTTTTCTTTCACTAAATAATAACATGTACGTATGCTTTTTCTTAATTGCTGCCATCTACTCGATAAAAGACCGATAACTTTGGTTTTCTTTCCTCATACAAGATCAAGCATCAGTTGAACTTGCACTTGTGGTTGTTTCGGCTTCAATCGATCACATATGAAAATGAATGTTGATATAAGAGAAAGAAAAAAAGGACAAATAAAAAGTGATGAACCACTCTAATGTAAGAAATATACGAAAGAGATATTGATAATATGAATGTAGATTTCATTTCATTTGTCTTTTTGGCTGGCGAGTATTTAGTTTTCTTCTGTTATGTTTATACAACATGCTGCTGCAACATGAACATTTGCATCATCTTATGTAATCTAAATAGAAATGTTAAGTTTGCACTCGTATCAATGAATTCGATCGTACGGCGATCATGTAATCCCCTCGCAAAATCAATACGAGTTCTGTATAAATTATAACTTGCTTTAGTACTATACGCATATACGCACATACGTTCCCGTACATATATAATGTATACTTGGTGTTCGCGGTTCAAGTTTCAACTTGCTGTACATGCCCATTTCGGTGGGCATATATATATATATATATATACAAGAATAAGGAATTCTTCCTTTTTTTTTTTGTTTTTGTTCTTTCTCGTTTTTACCTTTACTTAGAGTAGAATTCGTTTTGTTAGTTTGTGGTAAAACTGAAGTGATTAATGAGTGTTTCTGCATAACATGCAGCATTGTCTCGTGAAATGGTAGCATACGATGGCAGCTATCATGTTGTGTTTGCTGACAGTCGTACCATCATTTGAACATGTTACAATTTAATGAATTACATATGAATATGTAATGATATCAATATCCACAAAGTCAGAGTTCGAATATGGGCTTTTGATGTACTACTTAAGATGTATATGTATTTGTGTTTTTCTTTATGCTTGCGTTGTGCTTGCGTTTGTGTTTTTTTTTTTATGTATGCAGTGATTTACGATATTTCAAATCAAGTAATAATTATAGGAAAAAATATAAACTTTAACAAAATATATTATAGCTTGAGATTTTCAATGTTCGCTAACATCCTTTAACTGCGGACGCATTGGAGAATTGGTTAACTAAGTGGTGGTGGTATTGAAGGTATAAAAATTGTTCATTATTTATGCAAAAATGCATTCGAATTTTACGTTTTGTTGCTTTTGTAAATTGGTCGTGTGCCTTTACTTATATAGATCACTATCCGAGTAAGAGAGCCATCGAGAGAGAGAGAGAGAGAGAGAGAGAGAGAGACGGATAGTATATATACATATATATTTGTGTGTGTTACGGAGTGAAGTATAGAACGCTTTCATTGTGCATTGGAATCTTGTCAGGCTCTTTTGGTATTTATGTTTGCTCACGCGTATTCACCAATGTCATGCATAGTAATGTTTTCTGCATGTCATTGTTCAGGAATATAAAAAGATCCTCCTGTTAATGTATGCGTTTTGTGCATTGTATTTTGTGTATATATATATATATATGGCAGCTCTGTGAAGCGTGACTTAAGTTGTGAAATAATGACGTTGTTGTACACCTTCGAACAAATTGTTTGATACCTTAAGCGAACGTATAACTATTCCGTGAGTATGTCAGTTAGTCTATCTATTCGACAATTCCAATCCATAAGTATGTCCGTCCTGTCTTTTATGCTTAATTGCATGATGTGATTAAGTTGTAAATCACAGCTTGGCTGCCTATCAATGTCCACAGCGGCCACAATATTACCGAACCATATATGTGATTCTCACGAACTCAATTAAATTTTTCTAAATCAAGTGATCTCTCGGTGCAAGTTCATAAAACTCATTGGAACCATAATGCATTGTCATAAAACTGGCATCAACGCAATGATGTACACGCATCACATTAAAGTATGAAATGACAATTAATATTAATGACGGAATCGTTTAAATTCAATATGGCAGACTGTACATCTTCACTACCTATGCGCGGTTAAACGTTCGCCTATCTATCATCATTATTTATTGCCACAGCATTTCTATAATTTATATAAAATTTCATTTTCTTTTGTCTTTTTTTTTTTTTTTGTTTTCTATTTCAGCTTTTGTGGATACAGTAAAGAGAATTTAATAGAGTTACTCATTGTAAACATTGCATAGTTTTGGGCCCATATAGATTATGGGCATATCTGAGGAAGTCAAGCTGGACGAGTTACCACAAGAAGCCAAATTAGCTCATCAGGATGCTATTCCTGACCGTTCGGCCTCCTGCACTGTTACCGCTGTCGGTTGTGCCCCAAGCGGTGGTACAAACAGTCCAATCTCCGATGCAAACAGCGACGGTGAATTAGATGATTACGCTCCGAAACGTAAACAACGTCGCTATCGTACAACATTTACCAGCTTTCAGTTAGAGGAATTGGAAAAAGCGTTCTCGCGCACTCACTATCCTGATGTTTTCACACGGTAAGCTTTTCTACCTTTCATTATAACTTCTCTTTAGATGACTGATTATTAAAAAAAATAAATAAATAAATAAATAATAATTTATATTCGCCTTTAATACTTACCACTACCAATCAATAAATTGTGGTGGTTCGTCGGAGAATTGTGTTTTGAGGTTAATCTAAACAGCTCCCGGTGCCGGAATATATATAGTTTCGTGATTATGCAAGGGCGAGTAAGCCCATTTTCTAAACTGACATACGATCGTCAGTTAAAAATCGTAAACCCAGCTTTTGATCTGTTTATTTTCTTCATCAAGGAGCAATAGAGAAATGGACGGGGATTTCTAAATCGATGCAAACTCTTATTGGTGTAGCATATACAGGTTTTTTAGGATCCCTAGAGCGTATTTCCGGGATTATAAACACTCAGATTCGTCTATTCGTTTAAGAAGACCATTTTTAACGAAAATCTATTTGTTAATGCTTTCGATAGCTTATCGTACTTCTAAAGGGAGGATATTTTTCGCCACAACAAGGCGACATTTTTATAGAATCTCGAATATTTTTAACTTCCGCAAAAAATATTTTAAACCATTCGCATAAACTTCTTTGAAACCAACAATAACGACGTATTGGAAATCCAAAAGATTGCTTTTAACATTTCATCTAATAATAAAACCAACGTCTGCAAGCGATGCGACTATATTTTCAAGAAATCCGAAGAGAAAAAGTTGTAAGGGGTAATAAAAGTTTAGCATATGAAGGGAAATTTACCAATTAATTGCTGAATGCTGCTCACAAACCACATTTAGCCCTCTTCGAGCACTATCTGTCCCCAACTCGCAGCACATTCTTTGCATTTAAAGAATTTATTAAGACTTTGGATAATTAATTTGAGGATCTGCGAGAAAATCAATTCAAGGACGAAATACATGGATATGTTAAAGCAAATGACTACTAAAGGAAAATCTATTAAGCTTATATTGCTCGTGCAGATTGTCTTTGACAGAAGAAGAAGAAGAAGAAGAAGAAAGTAGTCAACAACTATCAATAATTACTAACATGTGAACAAACTAAGCACACTCCCATTTATAAGTTCAGAAAAATTCATAATTTTTCTTCTTGAGACAACGCATAATGATCGTTAATATTCACATTTTGTTGAACATAATCAACTAAACCTACATGTGTGAAGACTTTTCATTGTATTTCATTACTTCCTTTAGCCGCGTATAAATTGTATGCACGTCGTTGAACGCTAAATCTTGTTTTTTTTTTTTTTTTTTTTCGACATACATGTGTATATGCATATAATTTCTGTAATTTTTATAATGAATAATCATGTTTTCTATAATTGAATTTATTTTTAATAAAGTTTACAGGTCGTGATTGAGCATAGCCTGCCATCAGAAACATCCACTGACTGCTTAAAAGTTAAAGGCATCGTCAACACTGATTTAATACTGATTGGTAGCTATGTTGTTATACAAGTTTATATAAATATTTTTACGCTTCCTTCAGTGGCGTACGAACAGTTAAAATAATCGGGACTTAAAATTTCGAAAATTTCATCCAATTTTCTTAAATTTCATCATCACTTATCCCATCCACTTTACTATCAGATGATGAAAAATATATTGAATCATTTCGTTGATAGCTTTATAGGCGCAATTTAATGTAATGCGCAAAAATATTTAATTGACTTTTATGATGTATTACGCCTTTCTTATTCACTTTTTCACGCCCACTATTGCAACAATTTAAATACGTTTGGGGATTATTCAGTTTGTTTATAGTAAAAGAGTACGGCTTGTTACTGCGTAAATGCAAAATACACTGTGACGTGATAATATGCTGCTTTCAAGTTAAAACAGTTTCATTTAATTTACCCATTAGGAGAACAAAGCAACTAACGAGGCAAAGTTACATAAACTTAATTTGATGTTTCGCGTTTTATACTCCATAAAAGTGGTCAAGAAACACTTCGAACGTCAATCTGACGGTGTGCAAATGATAGCGTTTTTATACACCTCACTTCGTACGCTTTATTGAGTATCGTCGCAATTTTTTCTAAATACATTATCAACTTTCGATCAAGTCTGACTTTGCTTTTTCGATTATGACCCTTACACATGTAAAATGTTTTACATGCGCAGCAAGCGAGCAGGAAAGTGCCTCTTTAACCATTTTTCATGATTTCATCATACTTAAGTATACATATTTTCACCGCAAGCAATACTGGTTTATATCGCATTTTATCTCGCATTAACGTGTAACTATGCCGTCGGCCTTTTAACTGAATATATCAGTACAACCAATCATAATTGTATTGATTTAAAAAAAAAAAAAAAAAAAAAATGTTCAATTTTCAGCTCTTCTCTTCCGAACGTTTACTTATCTAAAATTTGTTGTTGTTATTGTTGGCACGATTGAAATAGATACAAGATAAGTTGAGTTTAATTTTATGTTACTCTTCCTTTAGTATTTACCAAAGATAAATTTGCATAACTTCGCATAGGTATTCTGTTATTTGTTTTAATTACCACCGATTTAATATTGGCCGCCTAGTGAGGGCTCTTTATTATTAAATACTTTCTTAATTGTAGTCAATTAAATGATCGGAACATTCAATATATGCTTTGGGTCCTTGGGGATATTTGGCCTATTGTTGGCCCATTTGCAAAAAGAGCCACACTTCTTCGAAATTGGAGAAGGCACTTATAGACATTTGCTTTAATCTTTAGATTAATATCCGCTACAGATGGTAAACTACAGTTTTTACTTATTATGTTTCTAACTTTTCCTCGATTGCCTTTGCCATACAGCAGCAAACATCTTCATGCTGAAAAACAAGTAAAAAGATTATAGAGGGCCATGGCTCACCTTTAAATACTTTAACCCGCAACGCTTGTTCACATTACAACTTTTCAAAATGAGACGTTAGATGGGAATTAGTCCAAAAAATGATCCAACACGAACGCAATAGCGTTTGTCCTTGAGCCACGAAACGTCGGTGTCCCAATTGCACCAAAATATCTCAAAAATTAGAATGTGTAGGTTGAAGACGGATAGATGGACAAACGAGTTCATATAATATATAAGACAAACTTATACAATGTATAAGACAAGCTTACGTAATAGGTAAGATAAACTTATATAACAGATACAATGAAAAACGCGTCTATCCTAAATCCTTCTACGTGTTGTATAGATCACCACTAACGTAGGGTATAGCTACTCTATAATACCTTTCGGCACTTCACAGCTGGAAATAATTAACTGTCATCGGTAATGGCCACTATAGGTTTTGTAACTATAGGTTTTGTAAGCTCGTAATACACAGCTCGTAATATATTCAGCCGACTACACGAATAAGGATCCGTCGATATTCGCCTTTTTGTCGATATTAGGGTTTCACCGGACTGGCTTCATGGTTTGTGCTTTCGATAGTCCACGTCTCTTCAGTAGCGCTTTCGTTAGGAGTTAAATGGAAAACGTAGCACAGCCTTCAAATGGGTTTTTTTGGCATGCAAATCGCGCTGAGCTGCGAAAAAATCAGAGTTATACACACTTCATCGAAATAACTCACACCATCACCTAAAGTTTAAATATATTACTTTTATCCGCCGTAGGCGAAGTATAAATCACTAAATCAGTACAATATACTACTAGTCATAGCACCTTTCAAAAAATGTTTGGAATACATGGGCACACCTATTGTTTGTATTTTTGCGAAAACCACATATTTGATAAAGTGAATGAACATCAAAATTACTTAAAGGCGCCGTAAAATATGGACGCACTGTACAGCTCACAAAAGTTGCGTGGTAACGATTGCAAATGGAAACCCATCACGTGAGATAATTAAGAATGTCATAGGGAGTTCGTAACTGCGGTTACCTCATGTGTTCGTTGTGAGAGGGGGCAAACGAACTCCCTTTCCCATTTGCCCATTTCTATTCGTTCAGAGGGAAATGCAGGATGGTTGGTGCTCTACACGCTCGATATGCAGTCATTTTTTCTTAAGAGTAGTTTTAAAGAGAATTCAAAATGGCCAGATTACGCACGCTGCCCTAACAATGCATTTTTTATAGAGTGTTGGGACTCAGTCACTTTGTATAATTTGCTTAAGTCAAGTTCTTCGTACGTTGAGTGAATTAATTCTTACCTCGCTGACTACCGCAACACAGAGAAGGGCTGAGCAACGTTTGCATTAGCCTTTTACACAATTCTCGATATGCTTCTTTTTACAATTCATCATACATAGAAAATATTATGCATATAAATTTTACGCAGCCAATGACAGTATACACAGAAGGAATATGTTGCTCTAATATGTTACAAAACTATATGAACAGCAAGCATGTTGATTATATGTCAAAAATAAATATGTTACTCTCCTATATATTAGATGTATGTACGTGTATGTTTTGCATAAAAAAATGTATGTAGAGAAGGATAAGATCATAGAGATATATACTTAGCTTGGCTAGAAACATTTTGTTGTAGCGGAGCCTAGAAAAGGAAGAAACCAGAAGAAGAAATTTTAGGCCAAGGAAGAAGATAGAGAGAAGATATTTTGGGTTGCAATGAATATTAAAGAGTTTATAACCACGGAAAACAAAATAAAATATGATTTAAAAAAAAAAAAATAGAAATTAAAGATGACTTCAGAAGATTCACGCATTGAATTCGAACTTTGAAAGAAATATTTCTCATAACAGAGATTATACATACAATATATACTCGTATATAAAAATACACGTATATAAAGAAAAACTTTGCTCACAAAAAACTTGAACGTTTTTATGAATAACTCAAAGTGTAACTTGCAAAGTAATTTCACAGTCTGTGCGCATTTGAATGGGACTAATTTATATGAATTAACATGAATTTCTTAAAGAAAAACAATAAATTAAACTTTTATGCTGTTAGCTTTTTTACGATGCCAGTAAACGAGCGTCAACAGCAACTAATGTAATACATTAATAAAAATTTTATATTCAACAATGATTGGTAGTGATATACTAATATTTTTATATAATTTGTAACGAACCATAAGTCCATAAGTCCATTAATTTATTTATTTACTACTAACCGTTAGAAATGTTCAGAAAATAAAACTTGAGCTAGAATGATTTTGGGCATATTTGCTCTTAGATATAAATTCCACAAACTATTACTTTTGAAAACCATCCAATATGTTGTTGTTAGGATTCATTAACATATCGGCAATTAAGAGAGACTTAAGCAACTATTACATTTAGTTTAGATGGTGAGTAACCAAGATTCGCCCTAAAGCAATATTTTCTGACTTGTTTTCATTTATTAAGACATTGAATGGGTTTTCCGTTGTTATTCACCTTTCTACTCTTCGGCCTAGCGATTTCAATTTTTATTATCTTTTAGTTAGTAAATTAGTCTTGTTTTTTGCTCTGAATTTTATTTATTTTTTTTTTTCCTTTTAATTTTAACTGCTGTTGATTTTTTGTTTTATTTTAATGGCATTTTTACAAACCAATTATAGTTTATTTATTATTCCAGTTTGTATTGTTTGTTTTTTATTTTTATTTTTTATTTTTTTTTTTTGCGCTTATTTATAATAAACGCGGCCAAGATTTATTGATATAATTAATGTTCAATTAATAAAGCATTCGTTTGTTTTCTTAAAGTATGTACGTATGTCGCAAATAACGGAGCATTTGATTAAATTACTTGACCTATGGCAAAAGATATATATACTCATTTTCTCAAACTGCTTGCAAAAGTCAGAAAATTGACTTTCGAGAGATAAGCTCAGCGTATGATTAAAAATTAAAATGAATTGTTCTCGCTATTGGTGAGAAAGAGAGATTGAAAATAGGCCAAATCGCTCAAAGGATACGACAACAGTACAACATGATCTGAGACTAGTTCTCTCTTCAAAAAATAAAAACAATATCGTTTTTTATTCGTTACTCATGAACTACAACAATTACAAAGATGAATATTTGTACGTACCCTCTATGGATGATCCTGCAGCACCTGTACAAGAATTGAAGAAATTGACCACGAAGTTGCACGAAGTTATAAGTGACTTTTTCACTATTTTGATGTTTTCTACTTATTACTCTTAAGATAAACGAGACAAAATGTTGAAAATTATTTTACACATTCCTCACCCGTAAAATATGTAGTCTGTCTAGAAAGGTATTAGTTCCATAATATGTAAGGTGGATCCTACGGCGTGGAAGATTCATTACCTCTTAGCACCGATATCGATTGGCTATCAAATAAAAGAACTTGAAGAGTAGAATTCGACAAGCTAAGTGCGTTAATTCGAAATTAAATATCGCAGGCGTCACGACGATATACGATTTATACCGGGGATGGGTATAAAAGGTTCGTTTCCGGCCAAAGACAATTTTCTTGCTTGTTTTAATAATCATTATCATATTGTGAATATCAAAAGATTCGTTTCAAGTTGATTGCAATTTTTTCCATTTTAATGCTAGTGCAACAAATTAAATTAAAAACCGGCCGATTATTAATTTTATATATTTCCTTTTTTACATATATATATATATATAAACTTTTATGTCCAAATAAGCATTAAACGGGGTAATGAGTTAATAAAAAAAAATCAAAGTACAATTGTAATTGAAAGCAGCTATAAAGCTATCTACACTTATAGTTTCTTTTATCTATCTATAAGCATTTGCTTCGATATAACATATATAAACACATGAATGATTCAATTAATTGCGTTTGCTTGCTTTAATATCCGTTTTTCTTTTTTTTCCCCCTTTATTTTCTCATTTTTTTATTGCAGAGAAGAGCTGGCCATGAAAATTGGTTTAACTGAGGCACGCATACAAGTAAGTCAGACTATGTTAAGTAAACTTCAGATTAACTTAAATTGCGACGGACAACTTAAGTTAGGAATAGATGATAAATGATTGTCTTAAGAAGTCATGCAGTAAAAGTTTCTTATAACCGTAAGCCACACTATGTGTATTTATTGGATTGCAATTAAATTGGAAGAGTTTTTCAGTCACTTAGTAAGACTAGCTTACTAGAATTAGCATTAGATTGAATGTTACTTAATAAAGATCAATATGATGGTATGATGGTGTAAGTGCTCGAAACAGGTTGGAAGGAAAAGGAAAAGGAAATCTCATATTTTTATTTCTTACAGTTGTGGTGAAAATCTATCTTTGACCAAAGAACGATTTTATCCGCAAGTTCTTCTGTGTAGCGAATTGTTTTGTAAGATTGGATGGATTGTTTTAGCCCCACTTTTGTATTGAAAAATTGCAATTTAGGGCTATGAACTGAAATTCAAAGATGATTGATGTAAAAACAGCAGGTCCTTTGAAAAAACGGTGAATTTCCGAGTGAAACGCAAATTATATATTTATTCATCGAAATCGGAGGGTAGTGACCCCCCCCCCCCCCCCCCCCTCCTTCCCCTCTTCCCTTAAATGCACCTGCGTCAACATTATTTCAGTCGCCTATTCCATTTCTAAATTCCTGAAATCGCCCGATAGCTCCTTTAGCTTCTATTAACTCAAGACGATTAGTACAGATTAGTTCATTCAATTGTAGAAAAAGAAAACACACACTAGAGGTCGTTGGAAGCGTGAATAAGCTGCAAGTGGAACAATATTAGCAAGATTCTTGTTAAAACATGATGATTAAGCAGTAAGCGAAGGTGTCTTCTCGTGATGTGAAAGTCAGGAAATATTTTTTCAGGTAACTGGATATTTTTTATGAACTGGACCAAGGCAGGTTGAAGACGTAGACAATATTCTTTGTTAACTAGTTTAAGCTGTGGAAAACGGTCCTTACGAAACGCAAAATGATAATGAAAGTAAACATTTAATTTCATGACTTTAATTTTCAATAATGAGATGAGCGCATCTTAGCAAGTCGATTAACGGTGAACGCCATTTGCAGCAACGAGGCAGATGAGAAAGAAAATAAATGCATTGTCGCAAGAGAAAGTCCGCGAAAAAGGAAAAATGCCTTTTCGAAGGGCTTCAAAGTAAATTATGAGATAGTTTTCCAAAAAATTAGTTGTTTATAGGTTTATAGAACACCCAGTCTTTAGCGAAGTAACAAAACGTCATGTGGCCTCAACAACGACAAGCCATTCCCAATGCTGCTAAATGACTGGCTTTGCAAATACTCAAAATATCAAATTGAAATAAAGCTGTGTTTAGCCAGGCAGCGACTTCTCTTTATTTTAGCATGTGAGCAACAAAATACTTCAGCGATGATTACGAACGCCGGAGAAGACGTTCGATTCATTTACAATCTCTCAATGATTGGATTTAACTTGTTCGAAAATGTATTACTAGAGTGAAAATGAATGTACTAAAAGATAGGTGGCATTCAACAAAGAGGGAAAAGGCCCGGAATGACACACATAAAGTGATTACTTCCAGTATACGCAGGGAAACGGGCAATATGAACTGTTTCAAAATATTCAAACAATTGAACTCATTCTCTATTTTCAATAACTAATGCGATTGAAGGGTAAACGTCCACAATCGTTCAATAAATAAAGCATCGTCTTCGATCACGGCAATGCCAAATCGAAAATATGTTTAATGCCCAGCCCAAAAGGGAAAGCTGCTTTTCTGGGAAGTTTTGATCTCAACCGATTTCAACCATTTTCAATAGCGTTCGTCTTTAGACTCAAACACGTCGTTTTATCAAATTTCATTAAAATATCTCATAAATTTCGGCATGTTGGTTGAACGCTTCAGCACAATAAAACAAGAGGGACTAATGGACAGATGGACAGACAAGCTTAAACCAATTCAGGGTAACTTTCATAATAGGTGGATCTATCTCAAGTTCTTCTGGGTGTTGCATACATTCGCATAAGCTTAATATATCCTTATGGCACAAACCCATTATTAGGACTTTGATGAAAAAACACCAAGAGGTTTTTTGCCTTGACAGATTCGGTTTTTATTTTAAGATCGGAGTCATTCCTTTTCGAACATTTTCTTCAAACCTTAGTAAACACTTTTCTAATTCTAATTTTATTCTTAGGAGTTTTAAAAATACTGGGAATGCACAAAGGAATAAGCGCGTATCTTACTTTGCAACTAATTTGCAATTAAATCTCGAATTTTTCAAGTAGTGAAAACCAATTTTCGGTTCTAATTAGTCCTTCTTTACTTCTTTGACGAACCATGACATTTAACAAAGGCGTTTATACGGTAGCATTATATCATTTCATAAGTCATTTATCAAGCGCATTAACCGTAGTTATAACTAATGTATGTTTATGCTTGGTTTAGAAAAGTAAATTTCCGAAAATATGAAGGGAAATAAAAAAAATTGCCACAGAATTCTTGATATTCTTTTTTCTTTTTAAACTAACATGGCTGTAAGCCTTAAGCTCAGAAAAAAAAACGAAAAAAAATTTAGTTATTGCGGTTACTAATGTTACTAATGATTTTGTGCGGTAGTAAATGTACTCAACACTAATTAGTTAAGCTGGCAGATACATGATGAAAAAGCCAAGTCAAAACTAACACCAAAGAAATACATGAGCAACGAATTTAGAAAAAAAGATAAGAAAAAGCGAAAAGAAAAACAAAAACAAAAAAGATAAATCAGATATCAGTTGAATTCGTGGAAAGTAATTAAATAACAATTTAATTTAAAATCAAAGAAATCAAATCGCGCGAATAACTTTAAAACAAAGAAAAAAAAAAAAAACAAAAAAAAAACAAATAAATGAATGAAATGCACAGATGTGTAGACACCATACAGAGCAAGGCTTCAAGTTAAGTAATGTTCAAGTTAATAATGTTCAAATGTTCATTTCATCGACAAAAAACAAAGTTGTGAAAACAGTAGCCTGATAGTAGCTTTTAAGAGTAAAGAAATATATATGTATGTCCCTGATGATTTTAGTAAGAAACCGATAGCATTTAAATTTTATTTTTATTATTTTCTTCCTTTGCCTTGGTTCGTTTAAGGTTTGGTTTCAAAATCGTCGCGCTAAATGGAGAAAACAAGAGAAAGTGGGTCCGCAATCGCATCCTTATAATCCGTATTTACCTAGCGGGCCGGGAGCTATTCAAACAGTGGTTAGTTCGACATTGCCACCAAATCCGTTTACTCATTTGGGTTTTGCCAACTTACGCAAATCATTTGAGGCCCCCGCCAATTTAGCCGCATTTCGTTATCCCCATTTATCCGGAGCTCCTCATCTTTTACCCACGGGATATTTTAATCAATTTCAAAGGTATTCCTTTAAGAAAAAAAATCGTTATATATATTTTTGTTTGTATTTCGCTCATAGCATTCGATTTTTTTAATAGAGCTCCACCGCATATGCTACCGCCGGCTATGGCGTCCATGTATTCGCCGTCGACGTCATTTCAATCGCTTCTGGCCAATATGACGGCAGTCCCACGTCCACCATCTGTGGCAGCTAAGCCTCCAATTTTGATTAGTTCGCCCGATTTACATTCGCCCAATCACTTGATTGGCTCACCTCCTACGTCGCCGGCTTCAGTTTCTTCACAATCGGGTTCTGCGGGAGCAACGTCACAATCCTTACCGCCGGTATCGCAAATTCCATCAATTTCTTCGCAAGCCGCAGCCGTAAGCTTATCATTGGCTCATCAAACACTTCCGGCGGCGATGAACGCTCCGCCCCACAATGTGCCACAGGCTCCTGTCATTTTACCATCCCATCATTCGCCCCAACAACCGGTTTCATCAACACCGACCGGAAGTAATGTTCGCTCTAGTACCCCACCTGAAGATCGCCGCACTTCGTCTATCGCTGCTTTACGCCTTAAAGCTCGGGAACACGAACTCAAACTGGAATTGCTGCGTCAAAACGGTCACAACGATGTGCTCAGCTAATAGTCACTTAATCAACCAATAATTACAACTAACTAACTAAGACCACAATTACTGTTATTCGCAAAGAGGTGCTTGATCACTTTGCCCATTAAAACTTTTTAAAAAAATTTTAAAAAAAAAAAAAAAAAAAAAAAAAAAAAACGCCAATTAAAGCCAGAGTAAATTAAATGTACTTAACATCAATTAATTCATGGCATCTGCATGCAACTATGTACGGTATACGCGCCTATCATATACGGTTACGACGCATTTATTAACATCATAATTACGTTGTTTCGCAATGTTAATGCTTTGCAATATGTCGGCGTTTTTTAATACACAAGTCATAAACACACATACACACAAATATACATATATATAAATAGAAATTAAGAGAAAAAACAATTCTTACTTAATTTTTTTTTTTTTTTTTATAATAATAATAAATACAATATATGTGTATGTAGAGGGATGTAAAATGAAACGTCGATGAAAAGTCTTTCTTCACATTTGTAAAATTAGGAGAAAACAAAAAATAAAAATTTTGTGATATTCACAAAAACAAAATACATTAAAAATGTAAGAAACTCTGTTGGTGTTTTATTACTCTATCATGCGTAATGTAGAGTGGATTTTAAAAGCAATTATTTTCTATGAAGATTTAAATGAAATTTTTAAGTGCACTTGCATTGTTGCTGTTGTTGTTATTTGTGTTTTTTTTTTTTTGTTTTCATCATTATTATTTTTATATTCGTATTCTTGTTTTATTTAACCGGTGAATCTCACATGCGCATCTCACTTCTTAATTCCTGTTTCACGTTTCAGTCAATTAACTGAATTAGAGTCGGTGTTTATGCGCTTAAGATGTAATTCTTTGTTTCTTTTTTGCTTTATTCTTTGTGGAATACGTCATCCTCGAACTGGATTACTACGGCGCCAAAGCATTTATTGCACTTTTAGTAAAACGTGGTTTTTCATTTAACATCATTCATTGCCTTCAGTATTTTAATGTGACAAACTGCAGTTAAAACAAGTTATAATGGTATGCTTTATCAAGCCCGGCCATTTAATACCTTACACCCTGTTTAAGTGCTTGCTTCTTTATGTCAAATCTTATTATAATGTGTAATGAGATATTAAGGACTTTTTCTTCAACAAGCATGCTCAAGTACACTAGAACTTTAGACTACTTGGGTACACCTTATGGTGTTCTATGATAAATAAAAATTTCTTAATAAATTTTCATCATAATCTCACTAAACTATTTATAAATTCAAAATATGAAAAGGTTTCAAGAGAATGAAGTCTCCTAATCGGTCTGTGGAGCAATCTGGCAACATGACTATCACTGTATTAGTCGTTGTGAATTAAAATTGGAAAAACCAAACGTTGTGTACGGATTGGATTAATTTCCAATAGGCTTTCTTTCTACTTGCTTTATACACATTTTGCATGCCATGCTGTAAATGCCCGCACGAAAGCATGTGACTCGTATTTCTCTTACAATTAGTCTCTAAAAAGTGATCTCGTTATGGTACCACATATTCGTTGTTCTGAGCAACGGAAACCTTTGGTCTACTGTTTTATTCTTTTGACGATCTCAACTTTAGAAGTAAGTACTGCTTTCGTTGGTCTCAAGGACTGTAGCGCACTTTCTGCGAGACCAAGCAAACTGCACTAAATTTAGGAAGCACCATCACTCGCTAATGAAGATTAATGCACGTTACAGATAAAGCCATCACAAAATGCTCGAGCAATGTCTTAACAAGCCAATAAGAAGTGCCTAACAAACGCTTACTTACCTTTCTTAAGATGCAAATGCGTCAATGAGTCATCACATTTAAAATCACAGGGACAAAACAGGCGTACATATAAAGCATTAAATAAGTAGCTATATACATACACTTAAACGAATTCAATAGACGATTTCAATGCATAGTCTGCTTGATTTTATATAGATCACTACGTTTCGTTGCTGCATAGACCATGAAATAAAAGAAAAGAAAATGTTTATGGCCTTCAAAAGCCTTCTTAAGTGTACAATCGTTTTGCTTACTTAGGATGGCTAAAATCAAAAAGCTATACGGAGTGCTATAAACAACGTTCATTGCATTATGAGTAAGCAAATTAAAATCAATTAATATCAATTATTGGTAATTGCTTAACACTTGACACTCCTTCAATTATCTTAACGTTATTTAATTGAAATGAACTTGTATGAATTAATCAAACTGATTACAAATAATTATAATTATATATGAAAATTTTAATGTACATAGTGCACAAAGCAAAATGACTTCATTCTTTGAAAACAGGCTTGATTACAAGAATACAACATCGTCGCTCTAAGAAAATGCAAATGTACTTGCAACATAAAATTATAGGTTATACTCATCACAGAAAATGAATTAAAGTTTCGAATGTTCAAAACTCATAGGGACGCGCACAGGGTGTACAACATGTTATATATTGAGTTAAGGCGAAACTTCCAAGCCATTCATCAAATCATTTCATGAAGCATATAAATACATTACACTCGGCTGCGGTCACTTCTTTCATATACAATACTAAATAAAATTTCATTACTCGTTGATATTGAGTGAACGCAAGTCTTATTTTTTCCATTTTTGGGCACGTGCTGCAAGATCAATCGGACAATGTCAGTGCAAATTTGCTTTGTTGAGTACTAAGCAAAAAATCTCTTCCTTTTTCTTTCGAAAACAGAAGCGTTTGCAAGCTGTTATGTGTTGTAAGCAATTCCTCGGCTCGTCATTAATCTCTATGGGAAAATTTTCAAAACGTTTACCAAACTTAGAAACCGTATAAGAATTTTGGCGATTAGTCGAATGTTTTTCTGAGAGAGATGTAGATGTGGAAGAACAAAGGTCCCTCCACCGATTCAGAGTCCGATTTCGATCAGGAATATGTACACTTTCCAAAATGTCTGCATCGTCGAAAACCCCTCGACGATAGGTATAAGAAAGACATCATGACATTTATTTCAGTTAGAAGCAACCGAGTTATGAAAATGCACTAAAATGTGAGAAAAGTCTTTTTATTCTGCAACGTCATTTCGACTAAGGCAATACGGTGTCCTTGTGGAACACAACTGGTGTGAGAAAAAATTGAAATAAAAGTGAAAAATTTATTGAACCGAATTTTGGAAATCTCTGCTGAAACAAAACGAACTGCGGTAATTTTTGAAGAGACTGATAACGAACAATGGAGCCGCAAACGACTGTAATATGCGGAAAAGATAGTCGTCGAAGACGAGGCTATACAATTTGGTACAGCCTAGATTCAGATCACGTAGGGTAATCCTTTCTGTTTGATGAGACTGAAAGAGAACAGCATTGCGTCAATTTTACCAGAACTCCTTTCTACTGTAAATAATTAACGCGATTAGGCTGCGCGAGACTAAAATAAAGCGACAACCTCAGTCCACATATACCTTTAATGACTCGGTATAATAATAAATTGGTAGGAAATCGGTAGATAAGGAAGCAATAATCGGTGCAGGCGAATGAACGGGATGACTTGTATTAGGTCCGCTTTGCTTTTTATCAACCGATTAAAAATCATTTTCTAAATCAATTCAGAATAATTTTTTAAATCTACTTAAGAGTGTTACGTGCGACCACATGTTTTGCGTGCAACTCCCAATTTACGAAATGTTCGAATGAAATTTCGCACCCCGATATGCTGCGTCCTAAAGACGAACGCTTTTGAAAATACATTAGATTTTTAGCATAATTCCGCATACGTATAAAGCCCTACCTTGAAAAGTCGTTATATGAAAAAACGTTTTCGTTTTTATTGCTTCTCAGCGAAAGTAAGTAAAAAGTACTATATACGAAATATCTTTGTCTAATGCGGATGGAATGAGACGGTTTCTCTTTATATAAAATAATTCCTTACATGGTGACAAGGTTTGATTTTTAGTGTTTTATTTATGGTGAGAATTAGTAGAATATGTCATCGATACTCTTTTCGGACCCACAAGACTATTCTCATAAAAACTAAATTCTTATATGGCAAAAAGGTATAATGCGAAGCGTTACTTTAGACGGAGTGAAGTAGGATAATACATTTTTACTTTCTTTTACTTTCTGTTACTGTAAGGTAAATAATCCTTTCCAAAATTCAAATTATTTGCAAAACGTTGTTCTCGATTAGAGACGTTTGCTATTAATTAAGAATTTTAAACCAAACTCTTCACTACATGCTGTGTTTCAGGGATCTAAGAGGCGAGAGTTTATACGAAAGAGAGTGGCAGACGGACCATGTTAAAGGATTTTCCAATTTTTTTTATATAGGTTTCGGATGATTGCTATAAAAAAAAATCCTTCTTAAGCATGAACAACTTCCATGTCTTCGGTAAACTTTTACATATTTTTAATAAAAACAACATCGGCATCCGAGCACTTCTGTTCTTTAAAGAAACAAGTAAGCAACAAGTGTTAAAAGATTCGATGAAAATTGGGCATTTCTTCCCTTTATCTTCTTCCTCTTCTTTTTTTTTAATGTTTCACAATAACATACGGTTTTCATTACGTCCCTTTGTCTTCTTTTTCTTCCTTTTTTTTTTAATTTACTTCCTTTCTCAGCAACATGCGGTTATCATATCTTCCCTTTATCTTCTTCCTCTTCCTTTGTATTTATATTGCTTCCTCTGTATTTTTTTTTTACAAAAACATACGGTTTGTAAGTTCTACGGAAATTGCATTACATGGAACTTTTCCAAGTGTGTACACGTGTGCATATGTAGCGTATAATTGAAATTCAACTTAAGCTCAATACCTTCTTAGCTGTTTCTTTTTTCTTCTTCTAATTTTTCTTCTTCCTCTTGTTCTTTCTCTTCTTCGGCTTTTTGTTTGTTGCCCCAAAAAATTGCCGGTTTTCGTTATTTGATATTAAAAGCAAATATTGTTATTATGAAAACAAAAACAAAAAGAAAATTGTTAGCGCGAAATATTCCATTAAAATATGTTATGTTGTAATATTCATTCTGAAATCAAAAAAAAAAAAAAAAAAAAAAAAAAGTAAAAATAAAAAAAATAATAAATTAAAAAA